TCCTACGGTAAATTGGTGTAACCAGGTTGGCGGACCCTCCGGACTGAAGGTGGTGCTGTTGAACGCCAGATCTGTCAACGGAAAAACGACCTTTATCCAGGATTTAATCCTGGATGAGCGGGCAGATCTGGCGTGCATTACGGAGACCTGGTTGGATGAAGCTGGAGGCGTGAATCTTACCCAGCTTTGTCCTCCAGGCTTCTCCGTGCAGCACCAACCGAGATCCGGAGGACGGGGAGGCGGGGTCGCAGTGGTCTATAGAGATTCCATCCATCTGACCAGGAGTCCCATCCCGCAGACCACAAATTTTGAATGCGTCCACCTGAGGGTGGGTGACCGGGACAGAATAGGGATTCTGTTAGTGTACCGTCCACCTCGCTGCACTACAGTCTCCCTACCTGAGCTAGCGGGGGTGGTCTCGAGACTGGCGTTGGAGTCTCAACGGCTTCTTGTGCTGGGAGACTTCAATATCCATGCTGAGACGGCCCTCACAGGAGCAGCTCAGGACTTCATGTCTGCCATGGCAACCATGGGGCTGTCCCAACAAATATCTGGCCCCACCCACTGTGCTGGACATACATTGGACTTGGTTTTCTGCCAGGGATGGGAGCAGGGTGGCGGTGTGGAGGAGTTGTCCATCTCTCCGTTGCCATGGACTGACCACTTCCTGATCAGATTTAGACTCACTGCGCCCCCTAACCTCCGCAAAGGTGGAGGACCCATTAAGATGGTCCGCCCCAGGAGGCTGAATGGATCCGAATGGATTCCTGACGGCTCTTGGGGATTTTCCCGCCACCTCGGTAGGTGACCATGTCGAGGCCTTGGTCGCTCTCTGGAATGGGGAGATGACTAGGGCAATAGACACGATTGCTCCGGAACGTCCCCTCTCAAATAGCCGAGCTAAACCAGCTCCTTGGTTCAACAAGGAGCTGGCAGTGATGAAGCGAAGGAAGAGGAGACTAGAGCGCGTGTGGCGTTCGGACCCGAGCGAGTCAAATCGAACACGGTTTGTTGCCCTTCTAAGGGCATATGCCGCGGCAATAAAGGCCGCAAAGAAAGTTTTCTTTGCGGCCACTATTGCGTCTGCAAAGAACCGTCCGGCGGAGTTGTTTCGGATTGTTAGAGGGCTTTTAACTCCCGCCACCTCTGGCGGGAGCCCTGACAATTCGGTCACGCGCTGTGAAGCATTTGCTCGGTTCTTTGCAGACAAAGTCGCCTTGATCCGTTCTGGGCTGGACGCCGCGTTAAATGCAGTCTCTGAGGATGTAACAAGAGCACCTGCTTGTCCTATTTTGATGGATTCTTTTCAGTTTGTGAAACCCGAGGATGTGGACAAGATACTTGGAGGAATGAGGCCCACCACGTCCATCCTAGACCCCTGCCCATCCTGGCTTCTGAAGGAGGCCAGAGGGGGATTGGCTGAGTGGGTAACGGTGGTGGTTAATGCCTCCCTTAGGGGAGGGCAAGATTCCAGCAGGCCTAAAACAGGCAGTTATAAAACCGCTGTTGAAAAACCATCACTGGACCCCACTCAATTAGTTAACTATCGGCCAGTGTCCAATCTCTCCTACTTGGGCAAAGTCATGGAGCATGTGGTGGCTTCACAATTCCAGGTGTTCCTTATAGACACTGATTATCTAGATCTTGGCACAGTCTGGTTTCAGACCGGGACATGGAACTGAGACGGTCTTGGTCGCCTTAGTGGATGATCTGCGCCGGGAGCTAGACAGGGGGAGTGTGTCCCTGTTGGTGCTCCTGGACCTCTCAGCGGCCTTCGATACTGTCGACCACGGTATCCTTCTGGGGCGCCTTGCGGAAATGGGCCTTGGGGGCACTGCTTTGCAGTGGCTCCAGTCATTCCTGGAGGGACGCACCCAGAAGGTGTTATTGGGGGACTCCTGTTCTGCCCCACAACCTTTGACTTGTGGGGTTCCACAGGGTTCCATACTGTCCCCATGCTGTTTAATATCTACATGAAGCCGCTGGGTAAGATCATCCGGAGTTTCGGGGTGCGGTGTCATCTGTACGCAGATGATGTCCAACTCTGTCACTCCTTTCCACCTGCTACTAAGGAGGCTGTCGAGGTCCTGAACCGGTGCCTGGCCGCTGTGACGGTCTGGATGAGGGCGAACAAATTGAAATTGAATCCAGACAAGACAGAGGTATTCCTGGTCAGTCGCAAGGCCGAACAGGGTATAGGGTTACAGCCTGTGCTGGATGGGGTCGCACTCCCCTTGAAGGCGCAGGTTCGCAGCTTGGGTGTGACCCTGGATTCATCATTGAGCCTGGATCCCCAGGTTTCAGCGGTGACCAGGGGAGCATTTGCACAGCTTCGGCTCGTGCGCCAGCTGCGCCCGTACCTCTCGGGAAGTCTGACTTGGCCACGGTGGTACACGCTCTGGTCACATCCCGCCTGGATTACTGCAACCGCTCTCTACGTGGGGCTGCCCTTGAAAACGGCCCGGAAGCTTCAGCTGGTTCAGCGTGCGGCAGCCATGTTACTAACTGGAGCGGGATACAGGGAGCACACAACACCCTTGTTGTCCCAGCTCCACTGGCTGCCGATTTGCTACCGGGCCCAATTTAAGGTGCTGGTGTTGGCCTACAAAGCCCTGAACGGCTCCGGCCCAAAATACCTTTCAGACCACATCTTGGCCTATGAGCCCACGAGGACCTTGAGATCGTCTGGGGAGGCCCTTCTCTCGATCCCGCCTGCCTCACAGGCACGCCTGGCGGGGACGAGAGAGAGGGCCTTCTCAGTGGTGGCCCCCCGGTTGTGGAACACTCTCCCTACAGACATCAGGCAGGCGCCCTCTCTTTTGTCCTTCCGAAAAAGCCTCAAGACGTGGCTGTTCGAGAGGGCATTTAATTAAGTGCTATAGTAATGTGGTAAAGACGACTGGAATGGTACAAGGAATACGAGATTGGTCACGATTCTATTACGAGACGAAGCGGATTAGTTAGTGTAATTTTAACTGTTGTATTGTTGTATGGTTAATATGCTGTTGTACTTGTCTTTGTGTGAATTGCCTTTTGTACTGTACACCGCCGTGAGTCGCCCGAGTGGGCTGAGAATGGCGGTTAATAAATGCTCCAAATAAATAAATAAATAAATAAATAAATCAAACCAGTTCTTTGTCACAGGCAGACATATTTGTGGCACAAGTTCTAGTGGATCATCTGAGCAACTGTGTAATGCCTCTGTTTATAGTCTATCTGTGCGATCTTCTTGCAGCAGCGGAGGATGTGATCTATTATTTCATCTGCTTCCGTGCAGAGTCTACATTTAGAATCTGTCATCGACTTTTCAATTCTGGCTTGGATGGCATTTGTTCTAATTGCCTGTTCTTGGGCTTCCAGAATAGGCCCTCTGTCTTCTTTTTTCAAAGTTCCATTTGTGAGCCACAGCCAGGTTTTTTCCTTGTCAATTTTGCTCTCGGTTTTTCTCAGGAACTGTCCATGGAGAACCTTCTTTTACCAGTTTTCTCTTCTGTTCTGGTTTGCATTTCTACGGTATTCACTCTTTGTGAATAGTTTTATTGTAATTTTATATTGTTTGCTGTATTCTTATGTTTTATGTAATTTATTATGTTGTTGTTTGTGTTTTGATTTCATTTATTGTATTGCGTTGTTGGGCTTGGCCTCATGTAAGCCACCCTGAGTCCCCATCGGGAAGATGGTGATTGGGTATAAATAAATAATATTATTATTATTATTATTATTATTATTATTATTATTATTATTATTATTACTACTACTACTATTATTACTTGAAAGACAACAAGATGAGTCCACTGCAGACTTCAGAATAGTAAGGGTGCATCCTCATTTTAATTAACTGTCTAAATGTTTGTTTATGTTCTATGTTTAATATGATTTTAACTGTTTTAAATTATAGTGACATGTCATCGCTTTAGATATTATGCTTTGGTTGTATATGAACATTGACACTGAATCTTGCCACGACTTGATGTATTTATTTATTTATTTATTTATTTCAAATATTTGTACCCCGCCCTTCTCAACCCCCTGGGGAGGGGGACTCAGTGCGGCTTCCAATCAGCAGCAATTCAATGCCTCAATATATACATAATAAATTGTCAATAATTATAAATAGTTAAAAACATTAAAACAATAATCAAGGTGATCAGCTGAAACATTCACAGCTAGCCCCAGCAAACAAAAGTCTTTTGTCTCACCCTGGTCATTCCACAGATATATAAACCCATTTTTCCTAATTCCAACAGACCTCATTACCTCTGAGGATGCTTGCCATGGATGCAGGCGAAACGTCAGGAGAAAAATTGCCTCCAGAACATGGCCATATAGCCCAGAAAAACCTACAACAACCCATGGATTCCGGCCATGAAAGCCTTCAACAATACATTAAAACAATACATTTAAAATCTACTAAGAATTACCACTCTAGTGGCCATTATTAGCTGAAAACTGTGGTTGGATGCTCCATCAAACTTATCCATAATCCATTTCCAAGCCATTGTCAACATTGTTATTATCATTGTCTGCTTCATTACCCAAAGGCCTGGTCCCACATCCACGTTTTTAACTTTTTTTTCTAAAGATGAGGAGGGATTTAGATGACCTAATTTCCCCGGGGAGTGAATTCCACAGGTGGGGGCCACTACCGAGAAGGCCCCGTCCCTCATCCCTGCCAAGTGTGTTTGAGATAGAGGCGGGGCCGAGAGCAGGGCCTCCCCAGAAGATCTTAAACTCCGAGGTGGGACGTAGAAGGAGATACGTTCGGACAGGTACGCTGGACCGGAGCCGTATATGTACACTGCTTTGAGTCCTCCCAGGGGTGAGAAAAGCGGTATATAAATGGAGTAAATAAATAAATGATAAATAAATGATTTCCACCATATTTTAGGCCTCAGTACAGAAGTTGTCTTCTTCGTACTTACGCCCATACTCCATGTATATCATTTTGTCATAAACCAGAACCATTTGAGGAAAGAAATGATACCAAAAATGGGATTTACCTGGTCCGTTCCATGGTTTCAGCTCTTGGGGCTTCTCCGGAGTCTCTTGTTTCTCCGGTTCCGTCGGACTCTCCATGTTTTCTTTAAGTTCACCTCCTGAAACAGCAGAACACAGATCTCAATAATGGATTGTTTTTTGTATGACAGCGGGTGAGACTAGATTGGCTTTTGGGGTCCCACTTCTCTGATTGAAATTGCCCCCGATGCAGACCTGAATGTAAGGCTTTGGGAGAACTTTGCGGTTCCTAAGCACCTTGAATAAGATGAAGCTGTAACACATGCATTCTCTCTCTCCCTATCTATATAAATAAAAATGCAATGTTCGTTTGTAGGATTAACAGAACTCAAAAACCACTGGACGAATTGACACCAAATTTGGATACAAGACACCTAACAACCCAATGTATGTCCTTCACTCAAAAAATTTGATTTTGTCATTTGGGAGTTGTAGTTGCTGGGATTTATAGTTCACCTACAATCAAAGAGCATTCTGAACCCTAACAACGATGGAATTGAACCAATCTTGGCACACAGAACATCCATGATTAACAGAAAATACTGGGATGGTTTGGTGGGCATTGACCTTGACTTTGGGAGTTGTAGTTCACATACATCCAGAGAACACCATGTTTTCTCAAACAATGGACTCAAACAATGATGTATCTGGACCAAACTTGGCATGAACATTCCATATGCCCAAATGTGAACACTGGTGGAGTTTAGGGGAAATAGACGTTGTCATTTGGGAGTTGTAGTTGCTGGGATTTATAGTTCACTTACAATCAGATAGCATTCTGAACTCCACCAATGATGGAATTGAACCAATGGTAGCACACAGTTCTCCCATGACCAACAGAAAACACTAGAAGGGTTTGGTGGGCATTGACCTTGAGTTTGGGAGTTGTAGTTCACCTACCTCCAGAGACTACCATGGGCTCAAGCAATGATGGATCTGGATCAAACTTGGCATGGATGTTCCATATGCCCAAATATGAACACAGATGGAATTTGGGGGAAATAGACCTTGACATTTGGGAGTTGTAGTTACTGGGATTTATAGTTCACCTACAATCAAAAAGCATTCTGAACTCCACCAATGAAGGAATTGGGGCAAACTTCACACACAGAATCCCCATGACCAACAGAAAATACTTAAGACCATCGAGTCCAACTCCCAGGGCAAGAAGACTCAATTAAAGCCCTCCTGACAAAGAACCATCCAATCATAGATATAGATAGATATATATGATTTACACACAGAGAGAGAGATAGTATCATCAATTTGAAAGGGACCCCTAAAGAAGGACAAATATATGTTGCATATTCCAGAGTAGGCAATCCAGACACTCTCCATATCAACACTGACAAAGAAACAACAAGAAATACTGTTTACCCACAAGCATAAAGAAATTACATATATTAGAAACCAACACTTTCTCATTACTTTATTTTCCAGATCACCAGACTGGGCCACATCAACGCGAGACAGGGGAGGAAGGAATCCCACTGGAGCACTGCAGCTCACCCAGATACCTGGGAGTCACTCTGGACCGTGCTCTGACCTACAAGAAGCACTGCTGAACATCAAGCAAAAAGTGGGTGCTAGAAACAATATCATACGAAAGCTGACTGGCACAACCTGGGGATCACAACCAGACACAGTGAAGACATCTGCCCTTGCGCTTGCTACTCTGCTGAGTATACATGCCCAGTGTGGAACACATCTCACCACACTAAAACAGTGGATGTGGCTCTTAATGAGACATGCCGCATTATCACGGGGTGTCTGCGCCCTACACCACTGGAGAAATTACACTGCTTAGCCGGTATTGCACCACCTGACATCCGCCGGGAAGTAGCAGACAATAGTGAAAGGACCAAGGCAGAGACATCTCCAGCTCATCCCCTGTTTGGGTATCAGCCAGCACGTCAACGACTTAAATCTAGACATAGTTTTCTAAGATCTACAGAGACACTCGCTGGAACGCCTCAGCAAGCGAGAGTCCAAAAGTGGCAGGCCCAAACCCAGCACCTCAACCAATGGCTGATACCCAATGCGAGACTCCCTCCTGGGCACACAGAAGAGTGGGCGACTTGGAAGGCACTGAACAGACTGCGCTCTGGCACCACGAGATGCAGAGCCAATCTTCAGAAATGGGGCTACAAAGTGGAATCTTCGACATGCGAGTGTGGAGAAGAGCAAACCACTGACCACCTGCTGCAATGCAACCTGAGCCCTGCCACATGCACCATGGAGGACCTTCTTGCAGCAACACTGGAAGCACTCCAAGTGGCCAGATACTGGTCAAAGGACATTTCACCAACTACCAAACTCACAAGATGTGTATTTTTCTGTCTGTTTGCTTTGTTCTGTTAGAAATGTAATATATAATGGACTGGTTGCTCTGACACGACAAATAAATAAAATAAATATAACTTAATGTTGATATGAGTAGTTTCTCTTTTGGTTTTAGAACCTGGCTTTCCTAGCTGGCGAACACAATCAGAAAATCCGCCTTGAGCTTTGAAAGAGAATAAGGCATATCGTATATAACTTTCACTTGCAGAATTTGCATTAAACAGATAAGTCGGGATGTGTTTAAATCATTTCAGAAACAAAAGAAGTCGTATTCTTTGGAAAGGGGACAAAATGTGTTGCTTTTTCTCTCTATACACTGCAGAGCTTCCAGATCTTTTTTGTGTTGGAGTGTGTAAATCTGTGTTTCTCAACCTGGGTGTCGAGGGGGTTTCATAGGGGTCACTATAGACCATCAAAAAACACATATTTCTGGACAATTTTTGTCCATTTTTTAAACAAAAAAACCCGATAGTAGGTGCTGGAAATGTAAAGCACACACAGGGTCCTTTCTACATATGTGGTGGAACTGTGTAAAAGCTAGAGACTTCTGGAAAGACATTTATAAAACAATACAACAAATCTTGAAAATAAGGTTCAAGTTTAAGCCAGAATATTTTTATTAGGTATGTTTGACTTTGCATTAGACCAAAATTAAGATAAAATTGTGACTTATTTGATGACAGCAGCAAGATTAACTTATGCAAAACTTTGGAAACAGGAAATGATTCCAAGTAGAATATCATGGTTATTAAAATTACTGGATATAATAAATATGGACATACTGACCTATCAAATTTCATGCCATTCTCGAAATCCCAAAAAGAAAACAGACTGGACATTACTAAAATGTTTTTTGAAAAATGAAAATCTGGAAATAAAAGTAAAAGAAACTAATATATGAAATAAACAGAATTGAATCAACAGAACAATTGAATTTATACACAAAAAGGACTAGCAAGGTATAAATCAAATTTTTTCTTTTGATAATAACTCCTTTTTTGTTTTTTTAATTCCCCCCCCCCTCTCAGTTTTGGTTTTTTGTGGTATTTTTTCTTTTTGGACTACAGTCTTACCCTTCAACCTTTCTACTTTCCTATATACTTACAATGTTCCCCCTCTTTTATTGTATCACGATAACTTTTCTGAATAAAAATTATAGAAAAAAACCCACATATTTCTGAGACAGAGAAGCCTGAAGATCTCTCCGCCTGTCCTTCTCTTTCTTTTTGGAAACAGGCGGTGAATCCTCCCACCAAAAGCCCTCTACCTGCTCTCTGGATGTAGGTGAACACTCCAAAACTCAAGGTCAATGCCCACCAAACCCTTCCAGTATTTTCTCTTGCATGTCATGGAAGTGCTGAGTAACAAGATTGGTTCAATTCCACCATTGGTGGAGTTCGGAATGCTCTTTGATTGTAGGAGAACTATAAATCCCAGCAACTAGAACTCCCAAATGTCAAGGTCTATGTTTCCCAAACTCCACCAATGTTCATATTTAGGCATATTAAATATCTGTGCCAAGTTTGGTCCAGATCCATCATCATTTGAGTCCACAGTGCTCTCTGGATGTAGGTGAACTACAACTCCAAACTTCAATGCCCACCAAACCCTTCCAGTATTTTCTGTCGGTCATGGGAGTTCTGTGTGCCAAGTTTGGTTTGATTCAATCATTGGTGGGATTCAGAATGCTCTCTGACTGTAGATGAACTCTAAATCCCAGCAACTACAGCTCCCAAATGACAAAATCAATCCCACCCCCAACCTCACCAGTATTCAAATTTGGGCATATTGGGTATTTCTGCCGTATTTGGTCCAGTGAATGGAAACACATCCTACATATCAAATATTTACATGACTATTCACAACAGTAGCAAAATGACAGTTATGAAGTAGCAACAAAAATAATGTTATGTTATGAAGAACTCTATAAAGGGGTCACGGCATGAGGAAGGCTGAGAAACACTGTCTTAACGTATCCTAAAAGTACATCAAATAACTGGCGAAAAGATGGCTGCATCTCCATTGATCTCCCACATTATGGAAATGGCCATTTTGGGAAGGCAGCTGTGCTACTTGGATGGACTAAGTTTTGGGAAATTGAGCTTTGGAGAAATAAGATCCAAAAGACGTGCCAGCTTTCTATGTTTCGGAAAAGAAGAATTAAACCTTCTGAGTCTCACTTTGTCAATGAGAGTTGGAAGTTTTCATTGCAACTCATGGATGAAAACGGCAAGCTTGTGCCACTCCAGGGCTATACTCTCTCAACCCAGTGACCTGGTGTGAACCCATCTAAAGCAATGGGCCTTCCCGGATATTTCGGGGAAACGGTTCCCTTTCTTTCCAGCACACATGTGCTTTGGTGCTGCTCACCAGCTGTCCACCGTGTGCAAAATAATAAAAAATAAAACAATAATAATAAAATAGGAGAAGCGACTTCCTGGGACACGTCCCTCGGTGGCGTACTCACGGCAACGTGATGGACAATTATTTTCCCCATTAACTGCTGTCTGAGATGTGGCCGATAAGCCTATCTGCATAAGACAGCGGGGGAGATTAGCGGCCAGAGTGCATGTTTGCCTTTGCATCCAGGCCCCGATGATAACCGAGGCGGTCCCATCGACGGGCGCCATAAAGGCAACCAGGGAGGTGGCCCGGGAGTGACGTCACCGGCCATTGGGCATTATTAATACAGGTGGTATTAAGAAGAGGAAGAGTGGGGGTGGGAAGGACGAGGAGG